TTCATTTGCTTTTACTTATTTGCTTGTTTTCTCACCGGTGGCGCAGCTGCCGCGGTGCAGCAACAACCCTTAGCTCAAACCCTAAACCCTAAACCCTAAACCCTAAACCCTAAACCCTAAACCCTCCTGAGATATCTGAGCTTCTCGCGGCTTTCACCCGCTTGCTAGTTGAACGCATGGCGTTGTTTATTGGAATTGTTTATTTTGAAATTAAATTAATTTAAATTGTTTTTTAATTTGTTTTAAACAAACAATAAATTGGCTTTTTTCTTCCGAAGAAGCTGCAGCCCCCTTTCCCCCAAGATTCGAAAGCTAGGGTTTAGGGTTTAGGGTTTAGAGACGGGCTGCAGCAGCTGCAGCAGCTGCTGCAGCCGCAGCAGTTGCAGCAGCTGCAGCAGCCGCAGCAGTTGCAGCAGCTGCAGCAGCTGCAGCAGAAATAAATGGATTATAAATGGCAAATGGAGCTGCAGGAAAAGGGAAAGAAAAAAAAAAGAAAAAAAGAAAGAAAAGAAAAAAAAGAAAGAAATGAAAAATTAGAAAACAGAAATAGTTGATGAGGTGGGCTCTCAGGTGTACGTACACCTGAAATGGCAGCGCTGAGAGCAGCCGCGCGTCACAAATGGAAATAAAAATTAATTAAATGAATTAAATGAATTAAAAGGAAATAAAAGTGAATTAAATGCAATTATTATTCAATTAAATGCAAATTAAATGCAAATTAAATGCAAATTTAATGCAATTTAATCCAAAATCCGAGGAATTTGAACACTGCAGCGCAGCAGCAGCAGCAGCAGCTCCTCTTGCTCCTGCTGCTGCTGCTGCTGCTGCTGCTGCTGCAGTACTTCAATTAATTTTGTTTCATTTTTTCCTCGCAATTAAATTTCTTTTAATTCATTTCCGCATATCCACATTTCTAATATGATTGCAAGCTTCCTTATCAAGAACTGCTGCTGCTGCTGCTGCTGCTACTGCTGCTGCTACTGTTGCTGCTGCTGCTGCTGCTGCTACTGCTGCTGCTACTGTTGTTGCTGCTGCTGCTGCTACTGCTGCTGCTACTGTTGCTGCTGCTGCTGCTGCTACTGTTGCTGCTGCTGCTGCTGCTGCCGCATCTTCTCAACGCTGAAAAGGGAATTTCGACTTCTTCCCTCGCCGCACGCCCCAATAAATAAATTAATTTGCCATTTAATTAATTAAATTAATTAATTAAAATAATTAATTAATTAATTAATTATTTAATTATTTATTTATTTATTTATTTATTTATTTTTGCTACAGCCCGTGCTCCCGGGCCCCCGCAGCCTCCGTAAGGGGCTGTTCCTGCAGCGGGTCGAATTCTGGGGAGAGTTTTAAAAGATTGAAAATGCATGCATGCGTTTTGTCGCGAAGTTCTTCTGCACTCAAACCCTAAAAGAGGGACAAACAAAACAGCGAGGGTTTAGGGTTTACAGCGAGGGTTTGGGGTTTACAGCGAGGGTTTGGGGCTTAGAGCGAGGGTTTAGGGTTTACAGCGAGGGTTTAGGGTTTAGAGCGAGGGTTTGGGGCTTAGAGCGAGGGTTTGGGGCTTAGAGCGAGGGTTTGGGGCTTAGAGCGAGGGTTTGGGGCTTACAGCGAGGGTTTAGGGTTTAGAGCGAGGGTTTAGGGTTTACAGCGAAGGTTTAGGGTTTACAGCGAGGGTTTAGGGTTTACGGCGAGGGTTCAGGGTTTAAAGAAAGGCTCTAGGGTTTAGGCGGAGGGCTAAGGGTTTAGAGAAAGGGTTTGTGGTTTGGAGGGAGGGCTTTGGGTTTAGAGGGAGGGTTTAGGGTTTAGAGGGAGGGTTTAGGGTTTAGAGGGAGGGTTTAGGGTTTAGAGCGAGGGTTTAGGGTTTAGAGCGGGGCTCGAGGGTTTAGAGCGAGGGTTTAGGGTTTAGGGTTTGGGGTTTGAGTTAGGGTTTAAGCCTTCGGGCGCCTTGAAGGCCCCCGGAGGCCCCAGAAACCCGCGCTTTCCCAGGAATTAGGGTTTAGGGTTTAGGGTTTAGGGTTTAGGGTTTGCCTGTGCAGGAATAAGGTCTCCGCAAGAAATGTAAGAAGTTCCTGGATACAAAAGTTTGCTGCTCACTGGCCACAGCCGGAAGTTGTTGTGCAGCGCTGCAGCAGCAAAACAAAATAAATAAATAAATTAAATTAAATTAAATTAAATTAATTAAATAATTAAATAATTAAATTAATTAAATAGCTAAATAATTAAATAAAATAAATGAAGTAAAGATATGAAGGCTGCAGTAATTAAACTGCAAAAATATTTCAACTTAAAAACTCAAACTATTTAAAAATGCAAGTATAAGAAGCAGCAGCAGCAAGCAGCAGCAGCAAACAGCAGCAGCAAGCAGCAGCAGCAACAGACACAACAGGACAAGTACAGGCACAGCAGCAGCAGCAGCAGCAGCTGTTGCTGCTGCAGCTGCTGCAGCTGCTGCAGCAGTTGCTGCTGCTGCTCCTGCTACGCCTGCTGCAGCCGCAGCTGCTGCTGCAGCGCCGCAGCCGCAGCCGCTGCTGCTGCCGCAGTGCTGCTGCTGCAGCTGCTGCTGCAGCGCCGCTGCCGCTGCCGCTCCTGCTGCTGCTGCTGCTGCTGCTGCTGCTGCTGCTGCTGCTGCTGCTGCTGCTGCTGCTGCTGCTGCTGACCTATTGGCAAGATGTGGATGTCTGGGTTTTCAGCAGCAAGTCTGAAAAAGCCATTTTTAAAAGGCTGAAGTCTTCCCGAGACACTGCGGGTGCCCTCGGGGAAAACAACAACGCAAATGCCGTCGGCCAAATGCTTCAAAGCTTCCTAATAAATAAATAATAAATAAATAAATAAATAATAAATAAATAAATAATAAATAAATAAATAAATAAATAAATAAATAAATAAATAAATAATAAATAAATAAATAAATAAATAAATAAATAAATAAATAAATAAATAAGTAAATAAATAAATAAATAAATAAATAAATAAATAAATAAATAAATAAATAAATAAATAAATAAATAAATAAATAATAAATAAATAAATAAATAAATAAATAAATAAATAAATAAATAAATAAGTAAAAGAATATAAATAAATAAATAAATAAATAAATAAATAAATAAATAAATAAATAAATAAATAATAAATAAATAAATAAATAAATAAATAAATAATAAATAATAAATAAATAAATAAATAAATAAATAAATTTCTTGAACTGGCTTGCGAGAAGCGACGGCGTCTCATCTTTTGAAGCAACAAAGCGGAGTGGATTGAATTTAATTAATTTAATTAATTGATTTAATTTAATTTAATTTAATTTAATTTAATTTAATTTAATTAATTTAATTAATTAATTTAATTAATTAATTAATTAATTAAATTAATTAATTAATTAATTAATTAATTACTTTCATCATGTCCTGCACAGAGCCGGGCTGAGTTCCCCAGCCGCCTCGTTCCTTGGTGAACTGTACAGACAGCGCGCCGGCCATGTACTGCGCCCAGCCTGAAGTGAAAAAAACATTTTTTCGAATTTTTAAAATCTTTTTTGGACTTTTTGAATCTAAAATGAATTAATTTACATTAATTTACATTTAATTTGCATTTAATTACATTTTAGAACTTCTGCGAGACTTAAAACGGACAAAATCCACTCTCTACACCCTCTTTCCGCCTTTTCAGTTGCTGCTGCTGAAGTTGCTGCTGCGCAAGGATGTATCAGGCATTTAAATGCTTAACAAAGCTAAATAATGCACATTTCAATAAACGCAATTTTATTAAAAAACAAAATATTAAAAATATTAAAATATTAGATGAATGAAACATTATAAATGCACATTTCATTAAAAGAAACATTTTAAATATACATTTTACTAAAAGAATAAAATAATTTAAATATACATTTTATTTAAAAAACATTTTAAATATACATTTTATTGAAAGAATAAAATAATTTAAATATACATTTTATTTTAAAAACATTTTAAATTATTTTGATGCAACAATCTGAAATAATTCAACTTCTATAAACTCCACCAAATCAAATGAATTAAATGCAACTAAGGAATCAAATTAAATTTAAATAATTTAATTTAATTTAATTAATTTAATTTAATTAATTTAATTAAAATTAATTAATTAAATTAAATTAATTTAATTAATTTAATTTAATTAATTAAATTAATTTGCAAACCTGCAATTGGCACTTTGAGCAGAGAGCGTTTGATGACGTAAATGGCGGGGTGGCCAATGAGCATAGAGCCGACGACCCAGGGGTCTGCGAGTCGAAAAAAGTGGAAAAAAAAGGAAAAAAAGAAATAAAAAAGAAAAATAAAAGAAAATAAATAAAATAAATGAAAATAAAATCAAAAATGGACTCAAAAATCCGCAAAAAGGTCAAAAAACTCTCCAAATTCACCTATTTTGCTCGTGTGGTTCACCACCACTATCACTTTCTTCGAAGATATTCCCGCGGGCAAAGGCCGCAGAACCCGCTTCCCCCAAAACGGCCTGCAGAGGTGGTAAGCTGCAGCAGCAGCAGCAGCAGCAGCAGCGGCAGCAGCAGCAGCAGCAGCAGCAGCGGCAGAAGCAGCAGCAGCAGCAGCAGCGGCAGAAGCAGCAGCAGCAGCAGCAGCAGCAGCAGGTGGGAAGTTAGAAGCGGAAGTGAGACTCAGCAGCTGCTGCTGCAGACAGAGCTCGGCCGCAGCTGAAACTGAAAAGGACTCAACCCGCAACTACCAGCAGCAGCAGCAGCAGCAGCAGCAGCAGCAGCAGCAGCAGCAGCAGCAGCAGCAGCAGCAGCAGCAGCAGCAGCAGCAGCAGGTACCGATGTCCATCAGGCGCTGGTGAGTGCCTCCTAAAATGACAATGCGAAGTCTGGGTTTGATCAGCAGCAGCGGGAAGAGGCAAAGACCCTCAAGGAAGAGAACGGCGCAGGAAAGAATGAGGAAGAGCGAGACCACTGTGTAGAAGTAGACGGTCAGAAGAAAGCGGAAAGCCGTATTTAGTTTTCCCATTTTAAATAAATGATTAAAAAGAATTCAAATAAATAATTAAAGAGAATTCAACGAAGTTTCCGCAAAGACACCGCGGAATTCAAGTCCGCCGCCGCCCGCCAGCCTTGCAACTTCTCGCCACTCAGCAACGCCACACACTGATCATGTTTGCAAAAGCCGCTTTTCGAGCCTTCAAAAGAATTCTTTCGAAAGTTCTTTTCATTTTATTTCCGCAACTTCCAAACCAAACGCAAACTCCGCAGCTTTCCGCAGCTTTCCGCAGCTTTCCCTGCCGCAGCTGGGCTGTCACAGCGTCGTACAGCCCCAAGCCAACATGCACAGGAGCTCTTTTCGTCGGATTCGACCACAAGATCTTTCTCGTTCTTTTCCTTTGAGTTTAAATCCTTTTATTTACTCCAAATAAACCCCAGATTCCGCGGCATTCCCTCCTTTTCCGCAGGTTTCCTCGCGGAATCCAGTTCTTGAATTCGCGTTGCGCATCCAGAGTTCGCCAGTTTTCGGCGGCTCCAGCTCCGCCCTAAACGCACCCCCCTCTTTAATTTTGGGATTTTCTTTTAATTTACTTTTTAAAACCCCGCTGAAGCTTCGAATTTCCTCCCGGGAAATGCTGGAGTCCGAGCCGGAACTGGAACAGCACTGCCAGCAGGCAGCGGCGGAGGCTCCCGGCTCTCCCGCAGCAATTGCAGCAGCAGAAGCAGCAGCAGAAGCAGCAGCAGAAGCAGCAGCAGAAGCAGCAGCAGAAGAGGCAGCAGCCCCACCGAACGAGAGCAGCAACGAGAACAGCAGCAGCAAACTGTCCAAAAATGCCCTGCGGAAGCTGCGGGCGCAGGAGCGGCTGCAGCAAATGAAAGAGCGGCGGCGGTCGCTGCGTTCTGCTGCGAAGCGCCGCAAGAAGTGCGCGCGGCGCGAAGCAGCAGCAGCAGCAGCAGCAGCAGCAGCAGCAGCAGGATCGGGCGAGCGCGAGGAGCCGCTGCCGCCGCAAGACTGCAGCAGCAGCAGCAGCAGCAGCAGCAGCAGCAGCCCGGGCGTGCGGCTGCGGCTGTGCATTGACTGCGACTTCGAGGAGCAGCAAACGGACTCGGAGATTTATTCTCTGGTGCAGCAGCTGATGTACACTTACGGAGAAGCAAAAAGAATAAATCGGCAGCAAAACAAAAAAGCAGCACTGCAGCGCCGCCGGTGCAGCGGCTGCAGCAACACAGACAAACAGCTGCTGCAACAGCCAGCAGCAGACGCTGCAGCAGCAGCAGGAGCAGCAGCAGCGGATTCCGCTGCTGCTGCGCCGCACAGCGCCGCAGCAGCAGCAGCAGCAGCAGCAGCGGATTCTGCTGCTGCTGCGCCGCCCAGCGCCGCAGCAGCAGCGGATTCTGCTGCTGCTGCGCCGGCGGGCAGCAGCAGCAGCAGCTCCAGCACGATGTGCTGCGGGAGCACCAGCAGCACCTGCGCCAGCCCCAGCAGCAGCAGCAGCAGCGGCAGCAGCAGCAGTTTCGCGGCTTCGAGCAGCAGCAGCACTGCCGACCCCAGCAGCAGCTCCCCCCCCTCCCCCAGCAGCAGCAGCAGCAGCAGCAGCTCCCCC